CTACTGCTAGTACTACTGCTACTGCTACTACTACGGCTACTGCTACTACTACTACTACTACTACTACTACTACGAACAGCCATCGAAAAAATCCAACCAAGGATCAACAAGTCAAGTAGGGATCAACATTCAACTAGGGATCAAAAGGATCAAAAGGGGTCAAAACTCTGAAAGGCTGTAAACTACAGTATTTTCAGCCCGTAAACACTCAAAAACTGGTCTTTCTCTATCGGAGAAAGAAAAGAAGGAAGGGAGGAAGGGGGAGCGTCGCGTTGTTAAGGCATATGATGAACCGTTACCGCCAAATGAGAGGGTCCCTGAGAGGGTGTGTTTAAGATATATGATGAACCGGAATCACAAAATGAGGGGGCGTGCTTCAGATATACGGTGAGCCGGCATCGCCAAACGAGGGGGTGTGTTTAACATGTATGATGAACCGATATCGCCAAATTAATGGGGCGTGTTTTAAGATATATGATGAAGCGGAACCCAACAAAAGCCTGGACTAGCGGTTGTGGGGCTTCAGGGAAGAGGGTGTTCGGGATTTGAAATCGTTGCAAAGCAAGTTGTTTTGGTGGTATGGGCTTTGCCTTCGCGTGCAGGATTTTGGGAACCGGTCCTGCGCAAAACACATTTGATGTCAGCCACTACAGCACACCAACGTCGTCCTTTTGCAGTTGCCACTGAGCCCTGTGGCTTGGATCAATCTGCACCTAACCCTAGACCTTGCGCCCTAAATCCCACACCCTAAACCTTAAGCCCTAGACCCAAAGCCCTAAGCACTAAACTCCCTGAAATCCGACAGCTTGAGAAGCTGTTACATCGTACAATGCTCCGTGTGTGCCCGTGAGGCCGCTGATGTCATGGCAATCCGGGCCGGAAGCTCAGAATGTACAGATGCACCGGATTCGGAAAACCGAAGGCTTAGGGTTGGGGGGTCTAAGGTTCGGGTTTGGGTTTCTAGGCTTTTGGACTATAGAGTTAAGATTTCTAGGCTTTCGGGTTTTGAGGAATCTTCGGGTTGACCGGGTCCGTGTTTCGTCGGACGTAACTTCACCCTTTCCAGGTTTGTGCGTTTTCGAAAAAGAAACGGGTCTTGCTTGCAGGGATTTCGAGGTGTTTTCAAGTCAGGAGCTGTCGGGAATCAGTTTATAATCTAGTAGGGTTTGGCCGGGTCTGTGTCGAATCGGACTTAACACCGCTTTCCTTCCTCTTGTTCCCGCATCTTGGAAGCTGCATTATCAGTCATGGGGTGTGTTTGACTTCCTGGGTTCTCAAGGCTTTCCATGGAATGAGCTCGACACATCAGTTGTAGAATTAGGAAGGTGCTGACAGAGCCGGTTTTAGTTCAGTGGAGCGAAGCTTCCATGTAGCAGGCTCTTGCTAGGTCTAGAGTCTAGTGGACCGGTGAGATGTACCGTATACCACAAGGGCTCATCAGTAAGTGTAATTAACCATAGTGACTTCATATATGGTTTTACAAATAACGCTACCTACCAACTTCCGTAGTACTTGAACTAAAGTAAACTGCAATCCCCAAAATTCGCTAATTGACCACCCTCTCACAATTGTTGAATAGTTAGCAATGTTCTGGTTTTTAGTTAGAAGTGTTTCTATGTTCATGATATGTAATACAGATCAGCAGAATGTCTTCCTTAGCGTTCCCTCCTCAATAATTGTACATCACAACTTACAGTAAGTTGATTGCTCAGGCCCGTAAACCCATGGAACCCACGTTAAGCACCTTGAAAACCCTAAACCCTAAACCCTAAACCCTAAACCCTAAACCCTAAACCCTAAACCCTAACCCTGAGACCATCCTCCTGAGATGGTGGACTCCAGCGAGATTCCTCGCCTCAAGTCAGATGTTTCCCGACTGCTGGCTTTCAGGTAGGGCCATGGAGGGGTTTGGGCTTGGCTTGTTTCATTGCGGGTTTAGGGTTGAGGGCTTAGGCGTTTAGTTGTGATTTGCAGTTTGACGTTCCGGGTATAGGGATCGTTTCTCTGTTTCGAGTTTGGGGTGAAGGTCGAGATGTAAATGGTAAAGGCAAGTCTGAAAATCCCAACCTCTTGAAGAGGTTTAGAGTTGAGGGTTTAGTTTCTTAGGACTTGGAAGACCTCAGCGCCCACTGAAAAGCCCTGAAGCCCCACCATGAGCCCCGAAAATTTGAAAACGCCTGCACACCGCAAGGCCAATCGCTAAAATTAGGGCTTAGGCTTCAGGGTTTCCGAAAGCTGTGAACCCTCAACCCTGGTGAGCGATTGACCCATACCCCCTAAGCCGAAGGAACTTCAGTTTACTGCGGCCGGGACACCCAGCGTCGCGCAGCGGGTCTTCCTCCTCCCGGGGATTTTCGCGGTTTTGCGATGATGGTCGTGGACATCGTGATTGTGATGATAACATGATAATGAGGATGAAGACGACAAACCTACATGAACTCGAAAACCGAACAGTTTCACCACCATGGTTGCAGTGTCAGCCTGCCGATGGCGATGGCCCCCTTAACCATGGGCACGATTTCTGTTTCAAGATGCAGGCCATTAGTTCGTACAGATGCCAGCTGTGTTTACGCCATCGGCATCAGAAGTAACAGAGCCTGACGCCCTTGTCAAGCTCAGGGTTTAAAGGTGATCTCGGGTTTGTGCAAGCAGTCACCGCAAACGGCCCGGGCGAAATACATGCCAAGATTTCTGTCGGTAAGGTTGAGGGATTTTGGTTTTTTCGCTGGTTATGAGAGATGCTTTATGCTGTGGTCGTCAACATTATCGGTGCGTGTTATAGTTTCGAGGGTTTTTGGGGCTCTTGAGGCCAAGCCATAGCGAACGCTACCCGAGCAATCTCTGGGTCTTGCGCTCGGCAATGGGGTTGCCAGGCTGGGGATGTCGGGCAAGCTCGGCACATTGAGATTAGGGTCTAGTTCTCATTCCCAGGGTGTTGTATTTGGGTCCCCGGATTGCAGTTTCCGGGGGCAGGATTTTCAGTGTTAGAACCTGCTTTTGGTGGTTGGGCTGAAGAGCCTACGTTCCTAGGCTTCGATAGCAGGATGTCTGGCCGGCCAAGGATTTCGGATTCGGCACTTTAGGAAATGGGCGTTGCAGAAGCTGCGTAATGTAGGAGCCTAAATAATTGCCAATACCGAGGTTCCTTAGCATAAGTATGGTATAGTCGGCCCCAGAACCGCATTTTTGGGGGTGTCTAGGAGTCAGGGACTCGCCCTTAAAGTTCTTGGTGGGAATGAATCGCAGTTGTGGTTGTGGTTCAAAGTAGGCTAGAGGGCCTGTGCCGGAGAGCCAAAGTGCGGCCTCCTTGACACAAAGAACACGGTCAAATCAGGTGTTCCTTAAGCCTTTGCGCCGTGCGAGAAGTGTGTTTCTGATTGCAGAGGTTTTCTGTCTGGTGGCTCGAGCCGGATTTACACGGATCGCTAGGCTGTGAGAGCGAATCCAAAGCAGTCATCCCCGAAACCACAACTGCCAGAACACTTTGATGATGAGAATCCACTGCTCCAGAAGCCTGGGGATGAGTACTGAGGGCTCTTGATGCAGGAGGCAGGTGGCTTGGGTTGAAGGTGTCGGGTTCAGGGGTCTCGGGTTTAGGTGGATTCAAACATGCATACAGTGCACGAAACTCTTCTCAATTAGAGCTTAGAGGCTTAGAATTCACCCCACACTCCGTCCTTGAGGGGGGGCTTTCTTAGCTTCCGCACAAAAGGAGCGCACTTCAGAGCATCCCAAATCTGAGCCGGACTGGTGTCGGGTTGTTGGGTCGTGGGGGTTAAACCGCTTGTGACAGCTGCTGGATGTGATTCTATGGCAAAACAGAAGCCTAAACAATTACCAATATTACTGTTGGGGTTCCTTATTATAATAATACTATAAAGGAGGCCAAGACCCTATTCTGATTATTAAGGCCTCTACAGCAACTGTGCTGTGGAACTATCGCTCTTTTGATCCTTGAGAGCCCGGCAACTGGTACGTGGCGCTCTCGGTAATTTAGGGGTTTACGGACCAAGTATCGGGTTGACTGGGGTAGACGAAATCCTAAAGTTTTACCTCAACACTAGAATTCTGTGCCAGCTGATCGTCAGGATGGCCCATTTCATCGACTGGTCCCCGGCGGTGCCCCAGCGCACATTTGCAAGGCGGCGTTTCAGTGTTCCATCGGGCTTGAATGGAAATGAGTGTCTGGATTAGCTTGGTTCAGGCAGGGCAGTATGCTGTTTTTCTAGAGCCTAAGTATCTAGGAACATGCTTCTTTGACTGGTACCCAGTTCCATAAACCGAATCTCTCTCGACAGTCCAATATTGTTTGAAGGTCTCAGAGTGTGCATTGGGATGATAGTTTCAGTGGTCCTTGCCTATTTTGTATGGCCCTCCAGCTACGATTGCGGTCTCTGACTGCGCATCCAACGCAGCAACACTCAAAAAGATACGGGCGCACTACAGACGTCTGTAGAAGTCGTGATAAGATCACGTCCCATCCCAGTTTCTGCTAAACATATCCCAATCCCCCGTTCTTGTTGCTTGGGCCCCCGTCATGCTGTTGGAGACGTTGGGCTTGCGGTTTGGCATTGAGGAACTCCGAGTCCTTGGAGCCCCCGGCAGGTTTCAAGTTACATTAGGTATACGGCTACAGTGTAGATGTTCTTGACGGATATAAGGACTACAAAGGGATGCCATGAAGCAATAGTTTTCAGGCCTTGACGTTACCTTTCATGGTTGTTTTTGCCAAGCCCCAGGTCTGGAAGCCTTGAAGCCTCAGAGCTTCAACTTTACAGAGACACAGAGCCTAGAGAGAAAGGAGCCCTGAGCTCTTGTTTCATCGGGCATCTTCAGCCTTCAAAGGTCCCGAGCCAGATCTTCGTGTAGGACTTCGTGCAACAACTAGGATAACTAGGGCTTAGGCGTAGCCTTGAAAGCCAAGCGTTTACAACCCTGTACTAGCCGAGACCAGGCCTACCAGAAAGTGCGCCGACGCGCAGCCAACGTCGACAACGTGTGTCGTCAGGCGTGGCAGTGTGCAAAGCCCTAGACCAGTAACCTCCAAAGCCCCCAACGGTACTTTAGGGATTATCTGGTAGCCAGATAGGTTTAAGGGGTTTAGGGTTTGTCCAGGATCCCCAGAAGACTCGTAGCTACAGAGCTACTACAGAGCCAATTGAATTGTGTGACCGTCATCCCAGATGCCTTTCTACATTGGACCATTCAACCTCATTTCAACCCGGCCTAGCATAGAAGCCTAAATAATCACCAACGTTATTCTGAAGGTTCCTGATTGTCATACTATACAGGAGCCCAGAACCCTCTTCTTATCAAGAGCCTACATTAGAAGCTTTAGAGGACTGCCTGGTGCCTCAAGTAAACCAGGCGCCCGAACCACCGTAAGAAGCAATCCTGAACTAGTCCTAGTATTAGTATTAGTACTATGTAGTATGAGTATGAGCACTAGTATTAGTGTTCGTATTTGTGTTCGTATCCCAGTAAATACTTGCACCAGTATCAGTACGAGTATGAGTATGAGCACCAGCAGGTCAGCACCAGCACTCTAGCATTCGTATTAGTACTAGTATCAGGTACGAGTATGAGTATGAGCACCAGCAGGTCAGCACCAGCACTCTAGCATTCGTATTAGTACTAGTATCAGAGTTAGTTAGTATTAAATCGTATTCGAACTAGCACAAGTATTAGTGCTAGTACTGGTACTAGTACTAGCACTCGTATTAGTATTCGTATTAGTATTCGCATTAGTACTAGTCTTATTGTTAGTATTAGTATTAGTATTAGTATTAGATTAGTATAAGGAGGTGTATGAGTAGCAGTACTGGTACTAGTATCATCATTAGTATTAGTATTAGTTTTTGTTATTATTAGTCCCTACACACAAAACGCAGCATTCGCTAAGTGTGGAGGTGTTTCTGGCGTCCTGTGCGCCTGGGCCTCATCCCATCCATCGAGCACCATGTCTGGAAGGCCATGCAGCGAGAGGTTGTTGGGAGATTAGGGTTGAGGCACTTTCGGAGTTTAGGGTTTAGGGTTTGGAAGTGCAGGAATTTAACGGTCTTCGGTGTGGTGTTTGGGTGCAGGAAAATGTGTGTGCGTGTGTGCGTGAGTGTGTGTTGTTGCTTTGTGGGCCTGAGGGCTGGGAAATGGGCCCCTAGCGGTACACTACCAAATTAAATGCTTACACTGGTATCATCGTGTCGCCATCAGATGGGAGTTTCAAGTGGAAGGGCGCTAAGAATGGCAGGAGTTGGGGCTGAAGCTTTATATTTGGCTTAACGGTTTAACGTTAGTATATACTTCAAGGATGAGCTGTTGCTTTGCTTGCGTCGGAATCCTCTAACCGAACATGCCTTTGCTTGCTGTCTTCCAGTAAACTAGTCCTGCGAGGAAGAAGGGCAGCATGGGGCGAATTGGCAGGGTAGCTGCAAGTGAAATCTCCATCTGAAAACTCCTCACGACTCTGTTTCTAGGATGGTCGCGGCCGTGTCTAGACCCTCATCGTTTCGGCTTCAGGGTTTTGAGTTGGAATGCGAATCGGAATTGGATTCGAGTGAGGGTTTCAGTCCAAGTTTGCTGCTTGTTGCGAGGATGCGTATTTATGTTGAACTCTGTGCTCGACCCTGAACCCACATGTTTAAGTCGGCTTCCGGGAAGCTACAAACTCTAGAGGGGAGGCCACTAGCGAAGGGATTCCTGCAGACTCCACGATGTTTCATGCGTTGACGGGTTTTAAGTGTGTTGGTTTAACTTAGGGGTTTGAGGGTTTGAAGGTTTCGGCGTTTGAGGGGTTGATGGAGGAGTATTCTTCGAACACGGCTTGACCACCATGATCCTTGAATTAAGCGGACCAAATCCTGCATTTCAGGACCCAGCACGAGGGCATTTTTTCTTTTGCCTACTAGGGACGCTACATGAGTTTGTCGGAGGCTTATGTAAGAGCCGGGTCCCTTTTTCAATGGATCTTTACATGAAAGGGTCCTACTTCAGGATATTAGGGTTTCCTGTGTTCCGACGTTCCCTTGTCTGCCCCGGACCTTAGTTTGTAGGTTCAGGGTTTAACATATAAAGCCCAATTCAAACGCTGGAGGTCCGTTCGTCGTCAGGGACACACAGGCGCCAGAGCCTCAGAGAGAAGCCCAAAGGCCGAATAAGATCTAGGTCCGTTCGAAGCATTCTTGGGCATGTGGTTTGGGTTTATGGTTTAGGTGTTATGGTTTAGGCTCCTCAATGAAGCTTTTCATTCCTCTAGAAATCTACCTATTTAGGTTAGATGCCTACTATTGGGAATCATATCATATACCCCTGTTTACCCTCAAACGGATGATTGCAAGAAAGTGGTCGTGTATTGCTATTACTAACGGGTCGCTCATCTCCAATTCAGAATCTGCATGCGATGGACGAGTTTTCCAGTCAGGTTCGGACATGTTGCCTAAATCCCACAATCCCCGAACTTTGAGCCCTTTGCACCCAACCCGAAGCCTAAAATTCGCAAACCCTCAATCCGTAGCCCTAAACCCTCAAGACCCTATAGCAAGGCCCGACTTTCGGGAACTCTATCGCTTCGGCACAATGCTCGGGGAGGGCGCTGTGAGCTCAGAGGGGTTTGCGATTACAGGTCTGCTGGGGTTTTGGACTTGCGTTTCGATTTGTGGGTTCAGGGTTAGGGCCCTGATAGAAGTTTTCGGGTTGAGGGCTTTAGGGCTTGCAGGTTTAAGGCTTCAGGCCTTGTCAGAACTCAAGGAGTGGGGTTCTTCGTCGTGGGTATATGATATATGAGTCAAATGAGTCAAGTGATCACGCTCTAGGCTTGAAGCGCTTCAGGTTTAGGGCTTGGAGTTTAAAGTTTAGGGCTTTTGGTGTAGGGTTCAGGATTTGGGAATTCGGGCTTCGGGCTCAGGGGCCTGATCGTCTAATCTAAAGCTTGAGCCCTGACTGAACCCTGCCCTGAACTTAAGCCCAAACCCTTGTTTCCTAATCCTGAGTGCTATAAACCTAAACCCCGAAGCCCAGGAGAGGAGCTGAGAATTTGGGGTTGTAGTATAAGTATAAGAAGGAGCCCTGAAGATCGTTTCTGATAATAACTCAGACTTCTGCATTCAGAGTCCGACCGTAAACCCTAGCAACGAGGAACTAGGAGATTGCATGACCCGCAGTGAATGAGCCATCTTATTCTCCTTCATTCGGATGATAAGATGAATCCCCTTATGTGTGCCACTGAAGAAAGGGAGGACCCAGAAATCGGAGGCCGTCGACAGTTCCGAAAACCTAAAGGCCCAAACCGTATTGTCCCGAGGTCAGGATGTGTTTTTTGCTTAAAGCGAGGGCCGTCCGAGCATGTAGTCCAAGCCACAGTCTTTTTTCATTCACGGTTTGGGGGTTAGGGTTTGGAATTGGGCTTTAGCATCTCAAGGTTTCCGCTGCAAGGAGTGGTAGCAACGGTAGCAGGCGCGATAGCACTTACCCAAGACGTGTTGGAACCATGGCAACTACAACTGAGCCACCAGAACCCCAAACCTAAACCGGCCACCCTCAACCCTAAACCCTAAGCCGAAGCAGCACGCAAGGACTTCGGGATCGTGTACACGTGCGATGTGCGCCCGGGTCCTTTGTGGGACGAGGAGCCGGTGTCATCAAGCTCTGGTCTTGGGTTCAACAAGGTTCAGGTGATGTCGTACCAAAGCACTTAGCCCTAATTCAACCCTAGAACCTAGAAAAGGTGAGCAGAGGGTTCCGGGTTCATGCATTCGAGGGTTCGATCATTGATGATGGTCGTGCTTTCCGGTGGATCTCGAGTCTGAAGTCATACATATATATATATATAAGCACACACAAATATAGATATTTGTTCTTATTATTATCTACAGCTCTCGAAGAACACTCGACAAAGATGCCCGATTCAACTAGTCGTTCCAGCACCGACAGTCTAAAGCCACCCCAGATCCTAAAAGCAGGACTCTATTGTGATCAAGGCCCCTGCACTTGGTCCTGATTTTCAACTTGATGCAACCCCAAAGCCCCAAACCGTCAATCCAAGACCAAAGCCCTCAAGCCCTAAACCCGAAACCGAAGCCCCCCCAAACCCCAAACCCTAAGCTCTCAACCCCAACCGGAAACCCCAAACCCCAAGCCCTTAAGATTCTTGACAAGAGCTCAGGCTTATAGGGGCTCTGACAGAGACTCTTGGCTTTCGGATCCTTTATTCATATGGAACTCAGAAAAAATTGGAATAGTGTTCTTCAGGTTTCCTTATTTTGTTTTTGCTGTAATGTGTAATACACCCCCCCTTCCCTTAACAAAAAAGCCCTATCTAACCATTAACGTCCCTATTTTAGGGATGAGGCTTTCCCGAAACACATCCAAGCTTAGAGTCGAGGATTTTGAGTTTATACGGTCTCGGGTTCAGGGTCCAGAGTTTTTGGTTTCGGATTCGGAGTTTCTGCTCTTGGATTTTGGAGTTTTTGGTTTTGGATTTTGGTTTGGAGTGTTGGGTTTCGAAGTTGTAAGTAGGGTCTCGGGTGTAGAGAGGAGTCCAGAAGTTTAGTGTTTAGGACTTCCTGCAGATAGGATCGTTTGCAGGACTTTAAGGTTTTCTCCCATTTGGAAAGGGTCTCCAAAAACTTAGTCCCCGGAATTTCCGATGCCCAAAGCTCTTTGACCGTTGGGAGGAGCTCATGCGTGAGGCTGAGTCCAGACATTCCACTGTGGAGGCTGGGAGGCTGTGTGCTTCAGGCTTTTGCCTCAAGTGCTTCGGTTCCAAAGCCATATGATAAACCGCCGTAGAACCCTGAAGGTAGGGATTGTAGGCCGTTCGGCCCTTCAAGACAAGAAGCAAAATACCTTCATGTCCGGAAGGCATCCTCAAGATGACTTCAGGTATAGTCCTTGGTTAAGACAAACGCCCCTGTGCCCGAGGAGGACCCGGACGAATTGGGTGTCTCAGCGGAGCACGAAGACCGGATCCCAGCGATCAGTGTAAGCTCCAATCTTCTTTGCTGTTGCTCTTGGGGGCCTGAGGATTAAGGTAAGAGCTTCCCTAAAAGCCCCGTAGAGGAACTTTAAAACGTTCAATGCTTTCTCTCGTTGTATTACCGGTTCAAGGACTTTCTGCGTAAATTTTGGCTTCAAGGAGTCGGGCTTAAGTCCGGGGTCCTCCGCTTTACAGACGTTGCCCCAAACCGCAGAGGACTCGGTCTAGCGGGGTCACTGCGTCTCCTCCTGACCATGAAGATACTGTGACATACTTCCGAAACCCTGTTCCAAACGACGGGAGCGATGCCTCTCTCTGTCGGCGCGCTCTCTCTCTCTCTCTCTCTCTCTCTCTCTCTCTCGCTCTCTCTCGCTCTCTCTCGCGCTCTCCCTCTCTCTTTCTCTGTCTCTCTCTTGACGGTCTTTCTTCCTTGTTTGTTTTGTACGATTGCCTTTCTTGCTTGCTCTTTCTTGCTTTATCTCTTTTGGTTTTCCGACCTAACTTTCGATATGTAGCTATCGACGTATCTCTGTCCCTCTGCTGCATATCTGACTCCGTCGTATGCATAACATCATCATATGTATGTATGTATGTATGTATGTATGTATGTATGTATGTATGTATGTATATATATATATATATCAGAGCGAGAGAGGCGCCTCTAGGTCTATTTGACGCCCTATTTCTTTCCTTTATGACTACATAGAATATAAATAGTTGAAATAATTGACATATTTTAAATCAGCAGGGCCGATTCCAATTCCAATTGTTTCAATTATTTGGCTTCTTCAAACAATTGAAATACTTCAAACGATTTCAATTATTTCAATTATTTGGGCCAATTTGGGCCACTCAAATAATTGAAATAACTGAAATCGGTCGGATTTGTGGCCCAACCCCCGAACCCCACGATTTCATTTAATTCAAATAATTGAAATACTTGAAATCATTTCAATTATTTCAATTATTTGGGGAGGCCAAATAGTTGAAATACTTGAAATCAACCCCATCTCACTTATTTCAATTATTTCAAATATTTCAATTAATTCAAACCCTGGGGTTCATTGGCCCGGGCCCACGGACCCCCAGGATTTCAATATTTCAATAATTTCAATTATTTGGGCCACCCAAATAATTGAAGTAATTGAAAGAATTGAAATAGGTGGGGTTTGTCACCCAACCCCTGAACCCCACGATTTCTTTGAATTGAAATAATTGAAATAATTGAAATCATTTCAATTATTTCAATTATTTGGGGAAGCCAAATAGTTGAAATAATTGAAATCAACCCCATCTCACTTATTTCAATGGTTGCAATTATTTCAATTAATTCAACCCCTGGGGTTCATTGGCCCGGGCCCACGGACCCCCAGGATTTCAATTATTTCAATTATTTGGGTGGGCCAGCCAAATAATTGAAACAATTCAAACAATTGAAATCGACCCCATTTCAAGTGTTTTAATTATTTCAATGAATTCAAATCCTGCGGTTCAGGGGATCGGGCCCACGGACCCCCAGGATTTCAATTAATTTGTACCAAAAAAACCAATCGTTTTTTGCAAATCTGCTGTACTGTCCCAAAAAAACAAATCTTTTTGATAGATAAAATGCCATGCGAGGTCCCAGGACCGGAAAAAGTTGGTTTTTTTTCGGGACAGTACAGCACTTTTGCAACAAAGGATTGGTTCTTTTGGGACAGTACAGCACTTTTGCAATCAAATTAACAAAATCACTGTACGGTACCCCAAACAAACCAATCCTTTACTGTCCCAAAAAAACCAATCTTTTTGATAGAGAACATGCCATGCGAGGTCCTAGGACAGGAAAAGATTGTTTTTTTTGGGTGGTTTTTGGGACAGTACAGAACTTTTGCAACAAAGGATTTGTTTTTTTGGGACAGTACAGCACTTTTGCAATCAAATTAACAAAAACACTGAACTGTACCAGAAAAACCCATCCTTTTTGGCAAAAGTGCTGTACTGTCCCAAAAAAACCAGTCTTTTTGATAGACAAAATGCCCTGCGAGGTCCCAGTTCAATCATTTCAATTAATTCAAACAGGGGGTTTTACCCTGGTGGGTTGGGGCCGGGAGGCTAGGGGTTGGGGGGTTAGACGCGCTGGGTGGGTTGCGGACGAGGCGGGGGATGGCTGTGGTGTGGAGGGGTGGCGGTTGGGTGGGGCCTGTGGTGGATACACCGCCACACCCCCACCCCCACACCCACACCAACACCCCCACACCCCCCCCATCCCGCCCACCGGTCTTTTCTTACTTAAACAGGGCGGTTCGATAGCACCAAATTTTCAGAAATCATTTTGTGGAGATGTGGCCGCTCCTTTTCTTCATCACTACATGAAAGCAAGGCGGATAGGGCGCACCAATTTTTCGGAAAAGCGCGGTTCGATAGCACCAGATTTTAAGAAATCATTTTCGGAAAGTTTGGTGCTATCGAACTGCTGTGTTTTTTAAGAAATTGTTTTGAGAACGTTTGGTGCTATCGAACTACTGTGTTTTCATCACTGCATGAAAACAAGGCTGATCGATAGCACCAAATTTTCAGAAACCAATTTTCCGAAAATTTGGTGCTATCGTACCGCTCTTTTCTTCCTTATATACAGGAAAACAAGGCGGTTCGATAGCACCAAATCTTCAGAAACCTATGTTCGGAACATTTGGTGCTTTCGCATCGCTGTGTTTTCATCACCGCATGACAACAATGCTGTTCGATAGCACCAAATTTGCCGAAACCTGTTTTCTGAAAATTCGGAGCTATCGAACCGCTTGTTTTTCATCACTGCATGAAAGCAAGGCGGTTCGATAGAAATTTTCAGAAGCCTTTTTTCGGAAAATCTCGTGCTATCGAACCGCTGTGTTTTCATCCCTGCATAAAAACAACCCGGTTCGATAGCACTAAATTTCCCGAAGCCTATTTTCCGAAAAGTTGGTGCTGTCGAACCGCTGTGTTTTTCATCTGTTTCCTTCACTGCATGAGAACCAGGCGGTTCGATAGCACCAAGTTTTAAGGACTCATTTTCTGAAAATTTGGTGCTGTCGAACCGCTGTGTTTTCATCACTGCATGAAAACAAGGCGGTTCGATGGCACCAAATTTTCGAACCGCTCTTTTCTTCCTTATACAGGAAAACAAAGCGGTTCGATAGCACCAATTTTTCAGAAACCTACTTTCGGAAAATTTGGTGCTATCGAACTGCTGTGTTTTCACCACTGCATGAAAACAAGGCGGTTCGATAGAAATTTTCAGAAGCTTTTTTTCGGAAAATCTCGTGCTGTCGAACCGCTGTGTTTTCATCCCTGCATAAAAGCAACGCGGTTCGATAGCACCAAATTTCCCGAAACCTATTTTCCGAAAAGTTGGTGCTGTCGACCAAATTTTCAGAAACCTATTTTCCGAAAATCTGGTGCTATCGAACTACTCTTTTTCTCGTCACTACATGAAAGCAAGACGGTTCGATAGCACCAAATTTCCCGAAACCTATTTGCCGAAAATTTAGTGCTATCGAACCGCTGTGTTTTCATCACTGCATGAAAACAAGGCGGTATGGTCATAGATATAGTTTGTGTGGCGTTCTCACCAAGTATTTAGTGTTATATTTGTAGTGCTATTGGTTCAAATGTTGGATATTGTAATTTACATGCTATAGAACATGCGCAATATCATAGTCGAAAAAATACACAATGAATTATACACAAGATAGTCATAGATGCCGTGTGTTGTGTTGTTTTCATCAAGTGTTGAGTGTTGTATCTGTTGGTTTATAGGCTTACATGTTGTTTTTCTTAACTTGAGTGCTGTAAGTCATAGCACAGTGTCATATCCGGGTTTAGAACGTAGGATAATATGATATCCGAAACCGTAAACAATATAATATGTAAAGTATAGTCATATGTGCCCTTTTCTTGCGTTCCTTTCACCAAGTCTTTAGTGTTCTATCTGTAGGTTCATAGGCTCATATGTTGTATTTTACAACTTGATTGGTAGACAGCATAGCGCGACATCATATCGGAGTACCGAACGTATGACAAGACTACATCCGAAATCGTATACAATGACATATAGTTGAAATCATAGACACAGTTTGTGTGGTCCTTTCATCAAGCATTTATTGTTTTATGTGTAGGCTTAATTAGGGGCTCATATATTGTATGTTTAGCTCGAATGGTGCAAGTGCAAGACACGGCACAATACAATAGTAGCTTCGCTAGCGTAACACAAATGTTTTAATACTGCCGTTGATGCTGACGTTGTGCTGACGTTGTGAGTAGTCTTATGCACGGGGTCTATCGGTGAACAATGCCGTGTCCTCAGGCTTATAATGTTGAGGCTCTTGTATCGCGTCTTGCGATAGGGTATTTTAATAGATGTCACACGGATGTTGTATTCTTACTGTGACTTGGTCATAGTGCTTGTCAACGTGCTGGGGTTTGGAGTTGATGTTAAAGTTAGAAGATTGGAACCACACCAAAGGACCGATAAGACCAACACAAAGCATCCAGGTGTACCATGTATGACCATCCTGATCCTTGTCCATCTGTTAGATCAGATACTGTACCTGCCCACTTGCTTATGGTTTGAAAGATGCTTGTTGTTGCTAACAATCCATTTCCGGTTGCATGATGGCAACAAACAGATTGTCACATAAGATATTTGATACCTCCAGCATGGATGCCGTTCGCCAGGCCAAGCTTCTGAAAGATATGGAAGTTCTTTGTTAGTTATCGGATTGTCATGTAAGATGTTGGATGCATCAAGTACGGATGCCGGTTGACAAATCAGTCGTCGAAATGTAATGAAATTCAATATTAAACTATATCTCAGGGCATGTCTCAATTTTTTCGGAATCATGTGTGTGCAATGTATAACTTATATGTATAATATTTAGCTAGGGATTCTATATTACATATTTAAAATACTAGCTCAATAGAGCCTAAAGGTATCGGGCTCATATATATATATATATATAGATATGCACAGGTTTGTCTGCAGATGCGGATACATGCTACAAGCAAACAAACGCACACGCATTGACTTATACCTACGCACGGATGTGCCATGTCAATGTATGACAATGTATGCATGCATGCGTGCCTGTATTTACGTATTATGGGTAATTACGTACGTGTGCACGTATGTACATGATTGTATATGTATCTATATGTGTTATGTACTTATGTAGTTGCACACGTTATATGCACGAACATACTGAACAAATACATGAATACGTGTATGTGTTTGTACACGTTTTATGCGTTCACATAAACAAATAAATAGACACGTGTGTATATATATATATATGTACACTGAAGTAACATATGCATACACACATATACATATACAGAAAGCGTCACCCTCAGGGCCCCATTTTGTCGGGTTTCTAGAAAAATAGACTTCCAGGGTTTGTTTCCCAAAATATCACGACTTGGGTGAACTCTGTCCTGGTAAGCGTAGAGTAAAGCAAGAATATGGATATGGTAGAGTAGACGGCAGCGAGGGACTGCGCTCAATGTGTTTGGCCCATGGCTTCGCAGCGAGGCCAAACAGCCAAACCCCCTCCAAAAAAAAAAAATCGAATCTTCATTTGCTTTTTGTTTTGCCTCGCTGCTCCCCTTCCCTGCAGACCAGTGAGCCAGACTCCTGTGAGCTTGGACCTGGCCACGTACGTACGTACGTACGTACGTACGTACGTACGTACGTACGTATGTATGTACATGCAAACATGCATGCATGCATGCATGCATACATACGTACATACGTACGTACATTACGTACATACGTACATACATACACACGCATGTATACATACATATATATATATATATTGTACATATGTATGTATGTATGTATGTATGTATGTATGTATGTATATATATGTATATATATTCACAGATAAACGGATGGATTTGTGTATACATATGAAGATACACATGTGTACATATATATATATATATATATATACATATGTATAGATTGCATAGACATGCAATGACATGCATGCACATGGATATATGCATTTACGTCCAGCGGAACTATGCGCGCCTGCATGTAGTAAAATACGTTACCACTTGATTTCCAAACAAAAACTCGTGTAATCTGCCGGGATAGACAGATGGGCGGAATGGCAGATCGACAAATTACGCATTCTTGCATCTTCACAGCGTATGCCCAGGGACACCGGAATCTGGCCCGCTTGCTGGCGGAACGGAGGCACGCTGTCATGGTTGTGATGAGCATGATTTGATACCTGGACCTATAGCTTGTAGGGTTCCGTCGTATGGTTCCGCTAGGTACTTGCTTAATGGAGTAGGTAGGCTTTCATGCCAAGATACGTGATGTTTCCCCGTCGCCCTCCTCCAATGTGAACCCAAAGGAGGCTTCCGGCCGAATTGTGACCCTAACATAAGCGAGTTTATTCTGCTTCTCATCCCTATTCAGTGTATTGTGGCCCGCCTATTCTCGTGGGCGAGACTTGATCGATCTGCTCACCGGGAGAAGGTCTAGATTTAGGGGGCTGTCCATGCAGTCAAAACTCGTTAAGCGTATTTTGCTATTCTACGGCTTTTCCAAGGGTTTGTAAAAAGTGGACTATATGGGTTATTATAACAGCCACTGGAAGGGTACTTTAGGCTTGCGGGCTTCGATTGATCCGAATGTCCGATGCCGCAAATCGAACCTGGATGGGCAAACATCATGATCAACCCTAATCCCCGAGCCCTAAACCCTAAACCCTAAGCCCACCAGGCATATTTTGCAGAAGGAGATGGACCAACGCAACCGGCTCTGCTGTCAGTGCTTACAATGTTTCAGAGTCAATGTCTGACTGAGGCAAGGACACCTTGCGGGGTTCACGCCCGACATTTGTAAGACTTCAAGTTGCCAAGGTTGCAAGGAATTTGGAGTTTTTTACTTCCGAGTTTCAAGTGGGGTGTAACTGAGAGTCTGTATGCCCAAGTTTGCAACGCAAACGGTTTCGGATTCATGGTTTCTGGTTTGGGGCATAGGTTGAACGCCTGGAGCTGGAACACGCACGTTCTGACAACGCACAGCGGAGACGGCGAGCAGGCTAGTGGATTCTGCCTAAACCCGAAACCGGTGTCCCAGACCCTGAACTGCCTTCCCTGAACCCTGCAGTGAAAACTCGGAAACGGGGTTCTGCTGATTTTGGCACCCAATTGAATCTTGAAAGGACTCCAGGGCATCCTTCAGACTCTTGAAATTACACACTTGTGCAAAATCGCAAACCCCCTAGGCCGTGAGCGGCAGATGCATCTTGTGGATCAGCCCACCGTGGGCCTGGCTTAGTGATCGCTTTGGAAGCTTGGGGGAACGAGGACGTCAAATTTGAAAGGTGACGGCTTCAGCTTGGGGGTTGTCGGGGGCAACATGGGGGCCTAAATACTTATCAATACTATGTTGGGTTTCTCAGTGTAAGTACAGTATCATGGGTCCCAAAACCCTATTCTGATTAAAGAACGGCCCCTATATTATGGTGTCTAGGGGTTGAGGGTTGGGGCTTTGGCTTTGAGGCTTCAGGACCTTGTTTTCGCAGGAAGCGTGGGTGCCTCTAGGGAAGTACAACGAACATCTGCGCGCGAGGCTAGGGCTTGGGGCTCAGGGTTTACATCCAACTCGTAGGCCGGCGAGACCCTAAACCCACGGAAAACCTTTACATCAGCCCAAAGTTGAAGTTGTTGTTGTTGTTGTTGTTGTTGTTGTTGTTGTTGTTGTTGTTGTTGTTGTTGTTGACGGAAACGACGACAGACTGAAGCGGCTGCCGAGCACCGACCCACATTGCATAGAGATTGCCCTTCTCTCAAATCACCTAAAGCTGTATCACACGTACACAGCTCAATCGCTGAGCCTCGAGCCCCGGAGCCCTAGAGCCCAAAACTCTGCTGCAAAGCCCCTCACCCAGATCCCAAACTCTAATCACCCAACACCAAAGCCCTAAACCCCTTACAGACGACGGTCTTATGAAACCCTCGTAGATGCTTCGAGGCCCCCTGTCAATGCACCCTACATGTCCACTCGATACCCGTACCAGAAGCTGGATGTGCCAACGGGTGGCCTGGTGGTGAAACTCGTGGAGCTCGTGGGCCCAGTGTTGCAGGGTTTTCTAGAAGGGCGGGATTACAGGATGCCAGACAGTTCAATATTATATATATATATATGTAGCGTGTCTCATTTTGTCCTTGGTCTTGACTTGTCCCCGAGAGTACAGGGCTTGATCGACTGTCGGCCCGAACCCTGTCCTGAAAGCATCCAATCTATGCAGGATTTTCAAATCTTCCAGAACTTGGTGGTGTTTGAATAAACATTGTTGGGGATTTTAAATGAATAGTATTTGGGCTTAAAAACACCATATTGGTGTTTAAAGCTTTTCGCCGAAAGCAAAAACCTTGGGGCTTAAAAAGATAAATGGTAAGAAGAGAGTTTAGGGGTAAGGTGCCGAGCCTCTTCATCTTGGAGCTTTAGGGTAGGGAGCTCAGGGTTCATTGAATGGTTCCTACAGGGACTCCTGCACGGGCCTGGGTAAGGACTTTTCGGATCCCTGCTGTGGGTTTAAGGGTTTAGGATCTGGGTTGAAGCGTTTCGGATTTACGACTTAGGGATTGAAGTGTTTGGGGGTTAGGACTTGGGGCTCAAGGGTTTCAGATTTAGGATGCTGGGCCTTGTGTGGATTTCCAGAAAGCTGACTGGGGCCTCTGCAGTTGTTGTTGTCATAGGTTCAGAGCCGTGAGCCCTTCATCTTACGAGCCGGGCCGTGAATGTTTTATTTGAGCCCTAACCATACAGGCTCGACGCTGCAATGCAAAGCCTTGCGACCTCAAACGTGAAGCGCAGATGCTAGGCCTTGAACCTCAAAACCTGAAATGGGAAGCTTTTGCCAGCTAGAGTTTCTTGGGATGTAGGACGTAGCCATGGGTCGTGATTCAGCGTTTTTTCTTTGGGGTGTACCGGATATTTGGGTCCAGGGGTGGGGTCGTGGTGTAAATGTTGACCCTTGGGCTATGAGCGCATAAGTCACCCAGAGAGCACTTCCACAAACCAGAGTTGTCAGGCTTCCCTGCCGACCTGAAACCCCAAAGCCCTGCTCACTGCAAGATATGCATCTGCCACGCTGTAGCCCAAACTCTCCACATCTCTACATCCCAGAGGGCCCGCATTTCACCCCAACTCTGTATCCTGGGCCCGAAATACAACACTGCACTCCAGACCGGATCTGTTGAGGGTTTGGTGAACTTTGAGTCCCCCTCATACTAAACGCACGTAACTCTGTACTAGTTCTTCAGGCCACTATCTTTCGTGAATCCTTACTCATCTGCGCTGTCTCTTTCCGCAGTCATCGGTCCAGCTGGTGGGGCAGCGTGGGGACTCAGGGGACGAGGGGTCGAACCGAATGTACGAATTTCTACAAAGGGCTTGGAACAGACTGTCATAAGGCTCCCCGACTTTATGTGTGCTTGAGGCCTCTGACTCTGGGCTTTGTCCACACCTAAGCCCTAAATGCCTCGAGAATTCTGCTCCCCAAATCCCTAAACCCTATAGACCCCAAGCCCGAAACCTCCTACTCCCGAACACAGGGCAACAACACTGGTGGTCCTAGGGCCAGCGTCGGGACCACGGGGTTGAGGTGTTCGAATTTGTGGTTACAGGGTTCTGTGTTTCGGGTTTAGGGGGCGTGAGAGAGCTTTCTGACGGTTCATATCGAGTGCCTAGGGTTGCAGTCTGCGCTAGCATAGACTTTCGGGATCCTTTGTTCATATGAATCTGCCAAGTCTGCGTTACGGTTCCTCCCATAATAATCATCGTAAAATACATACCCTAAAGCCCTATTCAAAGAATTAAGGTCCCTATACTGTCTGAGATGAACCCCCAAAGGGGAAGGGCCTGCTTGGAACCTGGGCAGAGCTTTGCAGGACACCATGGGTGGAGGCTGTTGCTTGGTAGAGGTGTCGGACTTGTTCTTGCCGTTATTGCTATTGTTTCTTGTGTGTATTAACATTAGTATTGTTTTCATTAGTATTACTACAACGGCTATTGTTGCCACGATTATTGTTCTTACTACCATTGTCATCACTATTGAAATTGTAGACATAAGTATTACGACGCCTATGCATACACTCAGCCCGAAGCTCCTGAGATCACCGCGGGCGCCTGTACGAGGCTTTCGGTTGCTCAGCGACCGAAACGGAGCCTTCAAATGCACAACTCAAGTTTCACGGCTTGTGGTTTAGGGTTACGTAAACGCACCACATCTTCAAACTCGAGGCCCAGAAAACCCTGAACACCAACCCCCCAACTAAATCCTGCCTGTCTAAGGCCTAGCGGACTTTTGTCTGCATTCTTCGCAGCAAGGGAAGTCATGGCTTCTGCTGTCCAAGGAGCCCTGGCATTCAACTCATGCAACATTCTGCCAATATGCGATGTTGTACGATAGCGATGTGCTGACTAGTATGAGTTTGAGTCGATCAGCAGTGACATTACTGACTCGAATCGCTGCAACTTGCTATTTTCACGTCGACGACCTAGCACAGCCCCAAGCGTGACGACGACTTCCTTCACGACTACGAAGCACCACTATTGCAACCGCAACTGATACTCCCACTCCTGGCACCCCACTACTACCACCACATTTTTCTGCAACAACCACTACCAGAACGGTAGGTGCTGCTACATCTGCTCCTGCTGCTACTGACTATTATTACCCCCACGACTACTTCCAACTAGCATTCCTCCTCCTCCCGGTGACCCTTGTTCCTACTCCTTTATCTCCCACCAATCTCCGTGAGCTCGACCAATATGTAAACGCAACTGCACGAATGCAGATTCGTGGTAAAGCCCGCAAGCCTTAAGCCGGCCTGAACCGAGCGAACGAAGCTTAAGCCCCAAGGGCCGCTCCAAGGGGCGGGGATAGGACCATTGGGCTGCGAATTGCGAAACTTGGTGGTCTCAAGACACGATGCGACTGCATAAAAGTTGCGGGCGACAAAGGTGCACAGTGCAACCCGCTGTTGAAGATGGGTTGGCCTTGCATGTACCTTTTCGTTTGGCCAGAGAAGAGTCTGGAGTTTGGGGCTCAGGTTTAGGTTCAGGATTTATTCGAGTTCTGGAGTTGGGGAGTTTAGGGATTGAGGGTTTAGGGTTTAGGGTTCCCAAGACCACATTTCAGGAGGTGAAGAAGCTGTCGCAGCTCTCGCATCCAAACCTCGTGCCGACCTTGGATGGCAACTCGTAGGGCTTCGGAGCTTCTTCCCAACGTTGCTGATTTTTCGGGAAGAAGGGAAGGGCAGAAGCGAGAATCCGCGGGCTCCATTCTCAGTCTCCAATTCCTCCACCCCTAAACCCTAAACCCTGCAAGCCCTGCACCCCAGCATGCTGGCGAAGCCCGAGATCAAGACGCACAACCTCTTCGTGGACGATTACTTCGTCTACTTCGTGATCTCCAGGCCTGCAGAGCCCCTTAAACCTAGCTCTTCAGAAGCAATCCCAACCCCGAACCTCGAAACCCCACGCCCCGAAAGCGCCAACCTCTAAACCCCTGAAGCGCCAAACTCTTGAGATCCCGAAGATGTGAACCTCTATACCATAATTTAGGGTGTGAGTTTTTTTGGTTACCCTTTCAGCAATTAATTCCATAAGGAAATCACTATGACAATGAGGAGTTTGTGTTCAGGTAAACTATACCCCACATCGTCAAAGCGAAGGTCATGTGTACCCGAGCCGGTAGCAGTTTTATGTTGTTGTTTAGACTTGAGGGTTAAGGGTGTGGGGTTCAGGGCTTCAGGTTTTCAAGGTACAGCTAGGTTCTCAAGTTTCCAGTGTAGTGGACTTCGCCGAACACCAGAATAGCACGGGACTCTCATTGCAATGATTGCACTGAAAACGAGCAGTGTAATTCGTTTGCAGATCCTTTACATAAACTGTAGGAGATACTGATGTGGGGATGCTTGTAGACATCGTCTTAGTTTTTGCGAATCCACAGAATCCAAGTCGGACACAGTGGAGCAGAAATCTATGGGAATCCACGACATCATGGTGCGTGCTCACGAAGTGTTTCAACCAGCAGCGGGAAGAGTTGCCCCACGCCCGTTCACATAGTTGCATGGCGATGCAAAAAATGGGTTGTGGGTTGTTCCCTCAAGGACGGACTCAACAAAGCAACTCTTTACACCGGTTTGTAGGATTTTCCCATGTCAATTGAGGCTCTGGCTGCACAGCTTGCCTACTGAAGATGCCACGAACCCTACCTTGCCAAGCTATTAGTATTTGTGCAGATGTTGGGGACATGCTTCATGCCTTCGTCCTGCTGGTATTGAAGGGCCATCTGCCCCATTGTAGTGGAGTATATTGCGGCGTTCTTGTCCGATGCACCGCCTTTCATCTTACCGATCCGAATGACTCGAAGTGGGTTACAATTGCGACACAGATCTCAAAGACCGTCAGTTTGCACATGTCGTCCGTTAAGTCAAGACGAGCGTACTGCCACAAAACCCTAAGACACCGATTAAAGTTAAACTCCTACACTGCAGCATACCCTCAGAAGCCTATCAAAGGCTAACACGACCCCCATTCACAGTTCACGCAGGAATTGACTAATATTTTGCCAGGTTTCCCTGCAGTTTACGAGATGGGATCTTGAACGCCTGCCGGTCTGTGCCTAGGATTCCAGGGACTGTCGGGGGTTTGCCTGAAGGGAATTCAGAGCCAGGGGGGCTAACATAGGGTTTTGAAGGACCAGAATAGAACATAAGTGCAAAGGGAAGGTGAGGGTTGTTCATGATTTACTCGTTATTCAGACCTCTGTTTGTTGGCTGTCCTACAAATGATTGGGGTCGAGGGTGAAAGAGGCTTTGGGTTTGAGTTTTCAGGCCTTGAAATCTAGAACCCTGCGCTCGCCTGCTTCCCCAACCCCTAAACTTTTCTCAATTCGGTGGTTCCCTATTCATCAGCACATGCTTTGCATCAATCCCTAAACCCTACACTCCAATCCCGAAGCCATATAAGCTCTCGAGTTCCCGAAACACTGAGCCCATGATCGGGACTCTGAAAGCAGATCTTCTCCAAAGTTCTTCGAGAACTTGTATCTCAGACCCAAACTCTCAAATCGAAAAGAACTTTTTAATCCCTTGGCTTTCAGGGTTCGGGGCTGATATTTCAAAGTAGGGGGCTTGGTTGTTTGCTTCACGTTTAGGGTTTCCCTACACCCTGAAGCCCTAAACCCTAACACCCGAAAGCCCTAAACCCTAACACCCGAAAGTGTCACATCAGATTTCAGACGTGAAATGGATGTTGGTCTTGTTTGTTTCCAGAGGGTGCGGACTTGTGGACCGGTGCGCTAAACCTGGCAATATATAATAGAAGAACAGAATCGACAAGAATATATTATAAAACAATCTAGCAAAATATGGTATAATGTCATATAGCAGAATAGTAAAACATACTATAACATAATTACTATAATATATGTTGTATTAAGATAATGTTACGTAATGTACCATAATATGCTATAACATAGCATATTGTGATATAGTATAACATAATGTAACATCATAGACTATGGGATAATGTAAAATACCATAACATACCACAACATAGTAGCATATAACATCATATAACGAAACATTTAGCACATAATATACACTAATAATATAGCATAGTATAGTATGACATAGTATCATATAACATAATTACATACAATATAGTACAATGTAAAATATTGAAGTATTTAATACAATATAGTATACTATGAAATAGTACAGTTTTGTATAATATAATATACTATAGTCCAGTATAATATAGTATGATATAGCCGAATATTATATAATGTGATATAATATAAAGAGATACAATAATATATAATATGGTATTACATGTAATTTACTATAATATGTGTGAATGCACAGCTCAACTTCGCAAGGTTTCGTGTTTTTGACGGGGAGTGTCGTGCCGCAACAGCCGTCAGCCGCACAGTTGCAAGTTTGCACCCGTAGAATACGCCTGAACTTCTTGGCAGAACAACCCTTCCTGCACCCAAATCCCTAAACCGAAGCAGTAAAGCCCCAACTTCACAAGCAATGCGAAGCGTATCGATGTCGAGGTTCTCTCGACGCGGCCTACCACTTCCTATTGCTGCGGATGTAGCCGCCACCGGCCCAGACGCAGTATCTTTTCTCAACCTCGTTGTTTCCTCTGCATCTAAATCCGAATCTCTCAACAAACCATAAACGCTAAACCGTGAACCCTAGACCCTCGAAATCATAAGCTACCAAGTACAACGTTTCCTGAAGCCGTCCTGGAGAAGGTCCAACACGCGATGCTACTGTACCCTAAACAGCTTGAAAAGCCATAGAACAAAGCATTTTGCCTGAAGCAACATGGAAACACGGCTCTAACTGAAATTCTCTCAAAGCCCCACAAAATCTCCAACCACAGCCATCCCCCGGTACATAAAAATCTCTCTATCAAACCTGAAAGCCACGCTTGGGGCTTAGTAAGTAAGGGTGTAGGAGTTAGGGTTTTGTTCTGGTCAGGGACAGCTTCTCGCTCCGTTGGCTTATCTCCACGCACGCCGCCTGGGCCTCAGATGCCCCAACAGAGGATTTAGGGACATGTGGGTTCAGGGTTTAGGGGTTAAGGTAGGGTATCAAGAAGTTCGGGGTGCCAAAAACATCCATTTGGGGGTCTTCAGGAGGGTCTGTGAGCCTGGCATACCTAATCAACCCAAACTCCACCAACCTCGAACATGCACCAACACCGACGCAGCCTGAAACTAGCTGAACACCCTTAGATGCAAAAACCCGAAACTTCAACAACGTCAAGCCCTAGAGCCCCAAAGCCCAAAGCCGTGCAGGTGTTGTCCACCGCGGCATCACTCCCGACAACCTCGTCGTCTCCTCTCTCGACATCCTTCGAGAGCGGTTTACGCCAGGGCCCTTCTTGCGATTGGGGTTTAGTGTTGGGGATGTTTCGGGTTTAGTGTTAAGGGTTTAGGGTCAGGTTTAGAATTCGGGGTTGAGGGTTCAAGGGTCGGAGCGTCTATGTTTAGTTGGATTTGGCAGAGGTTTGCGGTTTGGGGCCCTCATCTATCCTCGTTATACTCGGCGGACTTGGCATACCATGTTCGGTTCACCCGTGCGCCGAAAAAGCAGATGTTGCAAGCGATGTGCCACTAGAAAGAATCCCGTCTTTGATGGGAGCTGAAAATCACACAGGGGCCCTTCTAGCAATCCTCAGCAGCACTCCACCAGCCAAGCCTCAAGCAGCTGCCGGCGCTGTGGGTTGCTCTTCGGTTTGGTTTGCGTTTATTCAGCCAGAGACCTCAACCCTAAACTTCTCAAGTCCTCATGCAAGCCAAAATCCTAAAGGGCTGCATGCCTCAATCCTAAAATCCCAAAGTCCTCGAGCCCTCAACCTAGAGGAAGGGGCTCCCAAACTTGATCAAACCGGCAAAACACTGAAAAGCCCTTCTACCTACGCAAACCTTCTAACCTTTCTCAGGTTTTATTATAAAACCCTTACAGAACCTCATACTCATAACCGCCATTGAACAAAGCGTTTCAAAACCATACATGAGCCCTTAGGTTGGTGATCGCCGACCTTTACTCGACTGCTCGGTGCATCGAGGCAACCTGGGCGTGGCCAAAGACGTAGGGTTTAGGCTTTAGAGGTTTCGGTTTCGGGTTTTGGGCTTGGGGTTTGGGTTTTGGGGCTCCAAGGCCTTACTGATTAGGATCGAGCTTTGGCAAAGTCGGGGTTATGTTAGGAAACCCAGAGGAGTACTGAGTAGATGTTTTTTTCCCGAAAGCATCGCGAAGGGTTCTTCCGTGCGGAGCCTCGCAGAGAAAATACATAGAGAATACGTGGAGTCAAGTACACTTGACTTTACCACACTTGACTCTACGACACTTAGCTTTACCACACTTGAC